GTTTAAACTACTGACAACATGGAAGATCTTCCCTCATCAGGACTTACCATTTATTCTACCCTGGTTTAAACTACTGACAACATGGAAGATCTTCCCTCATCAGGACTTACCATTTATTCTACCCTGGTTTAAACTACTGACAACATGGAAGACCTTCCTTCATCAGGACTTACCATTTATTCTACCCTGGTTTAAACTACTGACAACATGGAAGACCTTCCTTCGTCAGGACTTACCATTTATTCTACCCTGGTTTAAACTACTTACAACATGGAAGACCTTCCTTCATCAGGACTTCCCATCTATTCTACCCTGGTATAAACTACTGACAACATGGAAGATCTTCCTTTATCAGGACTTACTATCTATTCTACCCTGGTTTAAACTACTTACAACATCGAAGACCTTCCTTCATCAGGACTTACTATCTATTCTACCCTGGTATAAACTACTGACATGGAAGACCTTCCTTCATCAGGACTTACCATCTATTCTACCCTGGTTTAAACTACTGACAACATGGAAGACCTTCCTTCATCAGGACTTACTATCTATTCTACCCTGGTATAAACTACTGACATGGAAGACCTTCCTTCATCAGGACTTACTATCTATTCTACCCTGGTGTAAACTACTGGCAACATGGAATATATTTTTTTTTAGAAGAAGCTGCGTGAGGAGAGGGGGAAGCTGTGACGAGAGACCCGACGACTGTTGCTTTCAGTCATCTTGTCGTTGCAACCTCTGGGGGACCAACTGTCGCTGTATGCGAAGAGGACTTTTCCAGGGATGAAGCCGTTTCGTGGAAGTTTCTCTTGGTGTTCTATTTCACAGATAGGATGATTCGTCGATTGTGCCACGATTAACCTTCTTATCAATTATAATTCTGGCGTTTATCGTTAAACTTACGTGTATTGTTTTCCATTTTTGTTTCATTTTACATCGGTTATTAACTGTAACTATATATATATTCGGCTCTAATCTATAGCTTAGGTGTTGATATTTTAAAAGAAACCCATCAGAGATCACAAGGCAGTTTTTACTTCAATCTTACCAAAACCTTTTCTTCTGCTGCTTGCTTTAGAGAAATAAGAGAGCAGAACAAAAAAAAATAGTTTAATTCAGCTTCAATTGTAATAACAAATAACTTGCACAAATTATGACCATCACAAACTGATATTACAACAAAGGCTACAACTACAATTATTTTTCCGAATTTAATGAATTAAAAACTTGAAACTCTGGAACAACTAGTGACGTGTGGATTTTTTTTTGTGTGCGTGTGTGTGTGATGGAGCGTTGTCTAAACTTTAATTCCTGGTCTTAAATTATAAATACACATTCATGTTTTAGAGATTCGTTTTCTTTATAATCACCAGGTAATTAATTATCAGTGTGGTTTAATCAACTAGCGCGTATAAGTCATAAAAATACGACTGGTTTATTATCCGTTGTTCATATAGCATCGGGGAAAGATATAATTATATTATCTAAGTATATTTTATAAACATATAATTATTTTAATAATTTCAAATCTAAACGTCCAGGTTTAATAATTAGAATGTTATATCCACACCTAAGTTTATTTGACAAATACGTGTACACACTTTCATCATACACGACCACTGGAAATTGCATTAAAAGCTGGGATAATAAAATAATTATTAAATTATTTATGTATTTAATTAATTATAAGGTTTTTAACTTGAGTCTCTGGGGGTCCTCCTATCTGTATATGTCCAGTTGTCTGTTTCTTTGTTCTATAAGCTTGCTGAATTCAGCGTGAAATAAACACGAACGATTACGTTGAATACAGGTGTATTTATCTTAATTAATCAAACTCTATGTTATGTTTATTAACTAAAGTATTTTATTTTATGCCTGTTATAAAAATGGAACGTGTTATTTTCTCCAAACGATACGATACGATAAGATTGTATGAGCTGCGTGTTATAAACCGTGATTCTCTAGTTAATAAAAAGTTTCTTTGAAGCAAACACTATTTCTGTGTAACATACGTAATACAGACCTAAACCCTACTTTAACGGGGCTAGACATGTAATGTATATGTATTACGTATGTTACAGTAAGACCTAAACCCTACTTTAACATATATACATTACATGTCTAGCCCCTAC